GCATCATGACAGAGATTGTCACCTTCTTGGTCTTCAAACATCTCAGCTAAGGTTCCTGGAGCTCCTGATTCTAGGTCACAAACCTAGAAAACTGCAGGGGCCGGAACCTGGAGCAGGGGTGAAGTAATTTCCATCTCTGGTGTTCCCACAATCTATTTTATAAAAGGTTCATTAATTGTATGTCTATGAGTGTTTTTCTTGGCTGTCCGTGTTTGTACCATGTGTCTGTCTGGTGTCCACAGGGGCACTGGAAACCATGGAACAGGAGTTATGGACAGTGTGAGCCATGGTGTGGGTGCTGGGTTCTGAATCGGGTCCTCTGCAGGAGCAGCAAGTGCTCTTAACCCCTCAGACAAATCTTCAGTGCTTGGGATTATTTCTTTTAAATAAACTTAAATCTAGAGTAGATTCAGCCTGTAAATCCATGAGTCACCACTGGGGGCAGCACCAGGATTCCCAGAGACAGAGAGGGGGAGGGGACCTTGGACAGGACCCAGCTCCAACAGGACAGACTGAGATGAGACCCTGTGGATCCCTCCTCTCTGCTCATCCTAAAACCTGGGTTAGATTCTAAAAGATGGGGAAGGAGAGAACCTCAGGGAGGGGCCTGGAAGGAGGCAGGAGCTCAGGAGACTGAAGTTCATGTCCTCAGCCCACAGTCTCCTGAGTCAGGGGCTTAGCTGGGCCTTGGGGGACAAGGATGGACAAACACCTCTTTTTTTTTTTAAGATTTATTTATTTATTATGTATACAGCATGTATGACTGCAGACCAGAAGAGGGAACCAGATCTGATCATGGATGGTTGTGAGCCACCATGTGGGTGCTGGGAATTGAACTCAGGACCTCTGGAAGAGCAGTCAGTGCTCTTAATCTGTGAGCCATCTCTCCAGCCCGACAAACACGTCTTAATGCTGTCACTCAGGGAGCCCAAGGGACAATGAGACAGGCACCATTCACAGGAACAAGAACAGGCCTAGTCCTCCATACAAACTAAAAAGATAAATAAACAAAGAAGACAGGGTGAAGAGCCATGGCCAGGTCAGAGCCCAGGCTGACCTGTCACAGCAGCCCTGGCTGCCCACAATCCTGGGGACAGGACAAGGCTCTGTCATCCCAGTGTCCCTGTGATCACAGACTCTCAGCATGTGGTTCAAGTGATGAAGAGAACAGAGCCAGGAGGTG